ATTATAGCGGTTCCTTCTGATCCTAGAAAACGTCCGAAAAAACCTGCTACGGAACTACCGAGCAGGGGCAAAAATACGATAAGTAGATACATAATTTCGAGTGTGATCAGACAACCAAAAATCTGACAATGACAGAGTGGCATGTGATTGAGTGATAGATTGATCGACGTAAGGCAAAGACATTCTAGATGAAAGAATGTGAAATAGAGATAAAACTCTCTATAGATGTCGGCTTGGCTTCTACGCTGCCCAATGTCGTTCAAAAAAAAAATTGGAGACTGGAGAATCCAGGATGTCGCGTTGAAACTGGAAACGCATACTGCTTATGGGCTCCAGTTTTTCCTGAATAAAGTCTCCAGCTTCCTTCCTAACGAGATCGTTAGGAGAAAGTTGGAGACTTTATTCAAGAGTCCTTTCCCTACAAAGGAGATTAAAAAGCTCATCTTGTAAGACGGCTGCCTTCAATTCAAATGTTATATGCTTTAAGCTGATTACGAGCACAGCAGGGTAGTCATGCCTAAAGGTTTACCTTCTCTCAATGTTAGCTTTTGTGGCTAGCTCCTTATCTTGGTCAAAAGCCAAAACAAAGCTCTTTCTTTAGTGGCAGTGGCCAAGCCAAATCGCTCAAAGAGTAATCGCCCGAAAGAGTTAGCAGTTCAGTTAAAAACCGGATGAGATGGGACGAGTAGGAGATCCAAAATACTGCTACCATGCTTTTCTGTAGGTCGATAATTTTTAGTAGTGTGTTTGCGAAAGCGTTTTTTGATTAAAAAAGCTGGACCACACATATGAAAAATACCCTAACATCCTTAGTAAGGTTTACCACTGAATGAGGAATGTCGCTCTAATCCGAATCCTGGAATCGACACACTCAGTGTCATAAGGAGTGGAATGCCAATCATCGCTATCCGTAACGGCTTCTATGTAGTACGATCAATCAAGCCTATCGCTGATTGCGTGTCCGTTGATTGAACCCATGTCCGCTACAGAAAGGTTGAAACTTACAGGAAAAAACTCGCTACAATAGACTGCTCCCTTCCCTAATGCGACATTGGCTGCAGGCTTGCTTTTTCGTTGGACATCAATCCAAGAACACCTGTCCTTGCGGAAAAAAGTCGCAGAGCACAGTCAGACGACGGATGGCGAGCCCCACTTACGAGTGATCAAATTCTTGCTTGAACTAGACGGAAACAAAAAGAAAGCCAAAAGGTCAGATTATGGGATAGAAGTGAAAGTGAAACAAGGGATTCTTTCATCTATTACGTAGTGGATCTACTTATATAAAGAAATTGTTTAACTGCTACTTCTATTTATCGTAGTGAAAACATGTTTCTATACGTCATTTCCACTGCTAGTTCCTTCATACCTCTTTCTTGTGGGCATGAATATGAGATGAGTGCCTTCCTTTGCGGTTATTCCGACAACATTTTCTTTTCTTCTTGAACAACAACCATGGCATTCGATGCAGCTCCTTTTCTAAGAAATTTGGCATTTTTCCATCTCTAGCCTTTGAAAGCTGTCCTAATCATCTTACTAAGGGGATTCTGTTTTGATTCGTCTTTTAGACTAGCACCAGCCTTTATTCCGCAAGTTTAATGTCGGAAATCTCCCTCACAGGGTGCATCTTTTTCCGTTGGTCAACAACCAACCAGCTTTCGTTTAGTTCTTCACTACTTGTACAGGAAGGAACTTTGAAGCCAGCAAGATCTTGAGCTACGTAAAGTTAAGCTACGAGCGAGGCGAGCGCTGAGGGAGGGCGATGGTAGGTAGTGAATGTCGACCAAAGGCGACGGGTGGCTTGGTTGGCTGGCTTCTCTGCTTTCTTGTTTATTCTCTTCCCGTAGGACCAAAGGCTTCCGTGCTATGCGTTTGGTTTGGCTAGGCTAGCGTCTTTGAGGGAATATAGAAAATGTTGCAAGCCAACGCATCAAAGTCAAGTCAGGTTCAGCAATCGACGTAACTGGTTCAAATACCAGAAGCTAGGTCATAGAAGGTAGATTCGATTCGACAATCTTAAGTAGTGGAGTCAGCCCTTTGCCGGGATACGATACTGTCAGCCTCAGCTAATCACTAGCTTCTGAAAGAATAATATCGTCAAGTCAGAGAGGAAGAAGAATGCCATCATAGAGGGATCGGCATGTAAACTTGAAGGGCTAGTTCACTCCTCTCCTTGCAGTCGAGCTGCTTTCGCTCCTTTAGCTCCAGAATTCTTTAGAATGAGAGTTAGGGTCGATCGGGGGAGCCTTACCTCTTAGATGACCCAAGCAAGTCAGTAAGCTATTGGATTTTGATTGGATGGATCCCCAGTCCCTGCTAACTGTAGTTACTGAAGGTCGAGTAGTAGACGGGCGAGGCCCACTGTTATAATCGGGAGGGATATGTCCCTTGCTGCAAGTCATCTGGTGGTGAATCATCTTGACTATCCATTTGATATCCGCCACAGGGTAAACTACTGCCTCTCAGGCCCCCGACGGATTCTACCATAGAGGCCAACGATAGA